TGGGCGCAGCCGCGCGCCAGGCCGGCGGTCGGGGTTTGGGGGAGTCTGCAGTCGGGAGTGAGGAGTTGAGGAAGGAGCGCTCGAGTTTCCGAGGGACATTGGAACGCGGAGCTGTCCGTCACGCTCTCATCTGCATATTCTGGTGCCCGCCCCCTCCCCTGCTCCGCCCGCTGCCGAGGCCTGGCCGAGGCCGGGGGAGGGGCAGAGAGCTGATGGGAGGGGAGTGCAGGGGAAGGCGGAGGAGTGGCAGCCAGCGGCAGGAGGGAGGGACGTGCAGGCTTTTGTCGCGCAGCCGCCGCTCGCAGCCCGCCGCTCTGAAGCTCGGCCTGGCCAAACTGGGCGTAGCGCTCCCCCCCTCCCACTGGCACGTCTTCCCAGCCACGTCCGCGCACCCCGCGGCCGCCGACTCCAACCTCGGCCCAGCCACCGTCCCCATGCAACCACTACCGGCGCTCTGGCTCGCCTCGCACTGGTTTGCAATGGCCTTCTACAGCCAGGCCGGGTCCGATCCACCTGGGGGATGTACGGATCAGGCACCCCTCGTCACCTTGAAGATACCGGCCCAGGCTCCACCCCGTGTCCAGTGCAGAAGCCGCAGGGAGCTGGATACCTGCAGAGTTGCTGGGCAGTCTGACTTCTACAGTCCTCTGTCCGCCTAGCCTCAAGGCCGAGGCTGCCCGCGTGGCCTCGCTCTCGTCTGGTTTTTGCCCGCTCCTGGCGCCTCTGCTGCCAAGCATCGAACCGGAACCGGAGAGTTTTTGGTTTGGAGCTGTTCCCGGGAGGCCCCTAGATGACACGGCTTCTGCCCCCAAGTACACAGAGAAGATTTCAGGCCGTGTGTTAGCAACTTCATGCCTATTAACGTCTGGAACGCGTCAGTGAGTGTGACTCGTCCCCCCAACTCCCTTCCCCCAAAAAGAAACCCCCAAACCTAAAAACAAAAAACCCCGCCACCCTGGCCCGGAAAGAGTTTTGTTTTCTTTTGTTAAGTTGAATGCGTTTTCGAATTTGGAGAGGGCTCTCGACAGAAGAGTTGTCTCTGACTTTGCTTGAGTCTCACTACCACTTCTTGCAGGGATATCGGCCAGACAGTGAGGAGAAGCAAAGACTTCACAAGTGGCTAAGATAACCTGAGGTCCAGGAGGTGACTCGCTGGTCCCTCGGGATAAGTGGTTAGCGAAAGCCCTTGGGACCTAGCCCCTAAACTTTCCCGCCCACACCTGCACCCCTTCCCCATGTGAAAGAGTGGGTGGCCAGAGGGGCCGCCGGTCCAGTCCACTGGACCTGAAGGACTGCCAATGGGGGGCGCTCGGGGGACTCGTAGGGGTCAGGTGTGAGCTGGCCCGGGAGGGGGCGCCCATCCAACAGGTGTCTCTTCCTTGCAGCCGGCTAGGTGGTGCACGAGGACTCTGCCGGCTGCGGCGGGGGCCTGAGATCAGATCCGCTGCCGTTTCATCCTTGGTGAGCTCTGAAGCTAGGAGAGGGCAGCAGGCAGAGGTCTCCATCCTGCGAGCGCCCGGCTACTGCTCTGGCCTGGGCTGTGCCGCTCCAGCTCCTGCTGCTGCCAGGTCCATGACACCCAGTGAATGCTGTAGGCAGCCAGGCTGCGTTTTGTTTCTTTCCCGGGTCCCAGGAAACCAGGAGTCAATTGAAGTGATGGATTGAGGATTATTTTCCCGGGCTGGCTGGCAGGCAGGCAGGCAGGCAAGTAAGTGTATCACTTGGTATGCAATTTCCATGCGCTCTGCTCCACCCTCATCCGCCTTCAAACACTGCTGCCACTATACCAATCCGTCCTCCCCTCTCGGGGTTCTTCCCACTTTCCCCCACAAACCTTCCAAGCCCCTTTAACCAGTCGCGCCCTAAAGTCTCAGTGCATGTGCACAGCCCACTTCCCACAGACCCAGAACTAGGCCGTGACATATTGCCTGGGGCATCCTAATTCAGGGGAGAGAAGGGAAGGAGGAGGGAGGGATGAAGGAGGGAGAGAGAGGGAGGGAGGGAGGGAGGGAGGGAGA